AGATGATGTAGAAAGGTAAATAAATCAAGATTGTTGCTAACCAAATAGAAAGTAATCGAGGCTTTTATTGGGCACGAATTCGTAGATGAGTATCTTTTCTTCTTCTTCTAAGCAAAATCCAAGTAGTCTTACTAGATTTCTGTGTTGAAGCTTGGCAACAAGAACAACTTCATTCTTAAATTCCTTAGCACCTTGCCTTGAATTTTTAGAAAGTCTCTTTACAGCTATTTCTTGTCCATTCGGAAAAGTACCCTACAACCATATTTGTGACATAGTGTTAGACAGTATAATAAATGAAATTTTGGCTCGTTTTTGTTCTTCAATATTGTCAGATACTTCTCCAACTTACCAAATAAACCATGTGTATAAAAATAATCCTGAAAATTGTTGATGAAAGGGGATAATGACCTAGAATTATGCGTTATCGTATACTAGCATACTTCGAATTGTATTTCTTTACCTTGTAAACACTTCCAAATCCACCTTCACCAATCTTGTTATTAGGAGAAAAGTTGTTGGTAGCAAGCTCAACAGTGTTCAAATCATATTGCAAGGATTCAATTATCGAAATATCATTTCCTTCGTCTACACACAAATAGCGAATCATCATAAAAAATTTCATTTTTAGTTTGGAGTGAACATGATTTCAAGTCTCGTAACCACCATTATATGCGGTAGGCTTTTCGTTTTGGATGAGATAGATTCAACACAGAATCTGAACAGTGAACATATTCAGAAATTAAACTAGATCAAAAGGATATTTTTTATGCTCTACTCTGCCTTTTGGATCCTCATATCTTACCGTTTTCCTCCTCGACAGCATCATAACGTCTCTGCTTTGCTCTCCTTGTCAAAAGGAAGCAGCCTATGAAGAAAATCAATAAGGAAACAACAGTTGGAAAAACTCTCGCAATAATAACCTGTCTTGACATTCCCCCATTTCCTGCACCCAAAACACGAAAATTGGTACAGATTTTGTACCTTTGAATTAGAACCAGAAAATTAAAATTTTGTATGGTTTCATTTTTTTCTGTATTGCATATGCTGTTTTATTAGTTAATCATAAGGCTACTGTTTAAGAGTGAGGATGCTACCTTCATTGGTTGTAGGCGGGGGTCGATTAGGCAGTGTTGGTGCTGGTGCAGGGGCCAAAGTAGAATTATAAAAGTGGTACATCTCATACCTTATTTTACAGCTGGCGAAATTTACTCTTGCTCCTTGATTAAGATCACAACATGCCGGGAAATTCGAGATACAATCTTGAAGGCAGGCATTGCATTGA